CCAGCCAGTCTGTAAACAGTCACAAAGAGAGCAAAGAGGAAATATGAAAGATTAGTGGGGGGCGGGGGGGGTCGCAGTTGCTTAATGAACCGCTCTACAGTCCACTGCACAAATGCTCAGTGGTATTGATGGTGCAAAAACCTTGTGTTTATTGAGGGAACGCAGTGCCCCCATCGGTGTTCCCTTGACAAATTTTCATATTAGCTGTCTTTGCTAGATGTGAGGCACAAGGTGTTGGCATAACATTCTCCCTCAAAATGCACAAGCATCACAGGTCACTTTAGTTGCTCACCATTTTCACACTCTATAAACCTTCTTTTTAACACGTTCTTGACCACTGAAAGAATACAGCTATTATGCAGTCTGGATGACATAGTCATGGAGAGCAGATATTTTGCCAGTTTCACTAATCACTTGTTGCTTTTAGGCTCCTAAACCTACTAATGATTCAAATGCATGGATGAACAGGTCTCTTAAACAACTACTAGACATGGGCTTCAAGGTAAGACAATGTTCACTGAGTTCCTGCTGTGACTTTTGTTAGGGTCCAGAACTGGCTATGGCTGCTTAGAATGTAGAAGTGTACTTTTAGTTGTCTTGTATTAGCAATACCATAGATACTGTTAACCTGTATACTTTCAGAGTTATGCAACCCTACTCCTCACTTTACTATCACCAAACACTGTTAAAACTAGCATGAAATGTCTGTTTTACAAAGGTGTCTTGTACACAGTCAAAGAGGGGCTGAACAGGAAATTAAAGTAGCGCTATAAATAATTGATGGCACTGAGGTCAAGCCGATAGAACTAACTCTAGCATACAGTCACACACTGCTTTTGACTGGCAAATGCACATGAAAGCGAGGGGATAGGGCTATTAGATTAGCTCGCTTTCTGTAAGAATGAGTTAGCTTGTTACACTGCTGCCATTGCACCATTCTTTGAAACGTATGGTAGTCTTTCATCTGTATGGCTAATTGTTATGTTTTAATACTGTCATGTTCAGCAAGTGGATGCAGAAAAGGCCCTCAAGGCTAATCACATGAATATTGAAAGCGCAATTGGTAAGTGAAATCATGTGTTTTTTTCATGTGTGAGACATTGCTACTGTAAATGTTGAAGAGGTGTCTTTTCTTTTTTCCTTTTGGCGAGTTTTAGTGTATTTGGGCGAGTACCGCGTTGTGGTCCAGTTGTACCGTAATAACTTGCTAGATTTAAGAAAGGATAAATTGTGTTCTTGTTTACACCTTCTTCAAAAGGCTTTGGAAGCCTTTCGTTCTTCTTTAGCTATCATGAGAGGCACTCTATAAGCCAAGCGAGGGAAAATTGGCTTTTTGCGCAAAGCACGAGACAAGTGCACAGTTTGCCTCACTTGGTTCAAAGCACCTGTCATGCAGGCTAGGTCTTCTTAGACTTAAAGGTAGATTTCATCAAGTGTAATCAAAGACCAAGTAGCTGATTGTCTGTTGATGTGTTTGTAGGGTACTTGCTGGCTATGAACATCAATGAAAACACGGAACAGTTATCTGGGGTCCCTGCGGAACCTGATCCAGCGGAAGCAGCAAGAATCCAACAGCAACAGCAGCAGAGTCAGAGCAAACTTAACCGGAAACAACGTAGAAAGCTTCAACAACAGCAGCAAGCTGAGCAACAAAGTCTTGCNGGGCTTCAAGGTAAGACAATGTTCACTGAGTTCCTGCTGTGACTTTTGTTAGGGTCCAGAACTGGCTATGGCTGCTTAGAATGTAGAAGTGTACTTTTAGTTGTCTTGTATTAGCAATACCATAGATACTGTTAACCTGTATACTTTCAGAGTTATGCAACCCTACTCCTCACTTTACTATCACCAAACACTGTTAAAACTAGCATGAAATGTCTGTTTTACAAAGGTGTCTTGTACACAGTCAAAGAGGGGCTGAACAGGAAATTAAAGTAGCGCTATAAATAATTGATGGCACTGAGGTCAAGCCGATAGAACTAACTCTAGCATACAGTCACACACTGCTTTTGACTGGCAAATGCACATGAAAGCGAGGGGATAGGGCTATTAGATTAGCTCGCTTTCTGTAAGAATGAGTTAGCTTGTTACACTGCTGCCATTGCACCATTCTTTGAAACGTATGGTAGTCTTTCATCTGTATGGCTAATTGTTATGTTTTAATACTGTCATGTTCAGCAAGTGGATGCAGAAAAGGCCCTCAAGGCTAATCACATGAATATTGAAAGCGCAATTGGTAAGTGAAATCATGTGTTTTTTTCATGTGTGAGACATTGCTACTGTAAATGTTGAAGAGGTGTCTTTTCTTTTTTCCTTTTGGCGAGTTTTAGTGTATTTGGGCGAGTACCGCGTTGTGGTCCAGTTGTACCGTAATAACTTGCTAGATTTAAGAAAGGATAAATTGTGTTCTTGTTTACACCTTCTTCAAAAGGCTTTGGAAGCCTTTCGTTCTTCTTTAGCTATCATGAGAGGCACTCTATAAGCCAAGCGAGGGAAAATTGGCTTTTTGCGCAAAGCACGAGACAAGTGCACAGTTTGCCTCACTTGGTTCAAAGCACCTGTCATGCAGGCTAGGTCTTCTTAGACTTAAAGGTAGATTTCATCAAGTGTAATCAAAGACCAAGTAGCTGATTGTCTGTTGATGTGTTTGTAGGGTACTTGCTGGCTATGAACATCAATGAAAACACGGAACAGTTATCTGGGGTCCCTGCGGAACCTGATCCAGCGGAAGCAGCAAGAATCCAACAGCAACAGCAGCAGAGTCAGAGCAAACTTAACCGGAAACAACGTAGAAAGCTTCAACAACAGCAGCAAGCTGAGCAACAAAGTCTTGCGGCTAATAAACCTGATCTAAAACAGACACCATCTGAACTCTTAGCTTCTAATTCAGTGACTCAAACAAATGAAACACTTGTTAAACCTAGTACTGAGCCACAGAGTAAAGCGCAGGACACTGTGGTATCGAGAACTGAGGACACTCAGGGTGATTCAAACAGTAAACTCGCTGCCCCAACAACAAAAGGTGATAAACCTGCTCAGTCTGGAGCAGGAGCATCAAAGCCGGTTAATGGACAAGCACAGTTGCCAGGTAACGGGAAAAGAGCAGGCCCACCATTAATACCTCCTGCGCCTGGCCCAGGAGTACAGGGACCTTTAAGGCCTCCTCTGGCCCATCCACTACTTCACCCTCAGCTCGTTCAACAGCTTCATCTGCAGCAGCAGTTACGGATAGCCCAGGGAGGGCTGCTTCAACCTCCGGTCACTCCACAACAGTTTGCTATGCTGCAACAAATTGCTCAGCTTCAGCTTGTGCAGCAGAGACTAGCTGCACAATCTGTTGCTCAGCAACACTTGGGACAAAAACAGCAGGTGGTGCCTCAACAGCAGCTCTATCAACAACAGCAGCAGATTGCGCTCATGATTGCTCAGATGCAGCAAGTCTTACAGCAACAGCCTGGTTTGGCTGGCCGGCTCCCTGCACTACAGTTTTCGGCAGTGCCTCAGCAGCAGTCTATAACTCAACAACAGCAACAGCCTTCCCCAACTAATCAGCAGAAAGGTAACAAACCTGTAACAAATGACAAGCCACCTAGCGAGTCTTCACAGACTAAAACTACTGAAACTGTTAAATCTCAATCAAAGGAATCTCTTAATGTCACCCCTGTAACAGCGGAGGAACAGCCAAAACAGCCTTCTCCCGTCACACAATCTCGACTTACCCAATGGAAGCAGCCAGTACTGCAGGATTCTGCTCCAGTCACTCAACCATCAGTCTCCAGCAGTACACCGACATCAGTGGACTCGAAACCTCCAACAGACTCCAGCTCTACACTGTCTCCTTCCGTACTATCCAGTGTTGTTTCCGCACCCACAATTTCAACTAGTGACACAGCTGATCATTCAGCACCCAACAGCAACAATGTATCGCCACGCACAAGAATTTCCGATCCAGTTTCCAGTAGGTGGGGTGTTGATGCAGGCCCTAAGCTGTCAGCAGATCCGCCGGAGTTCAAACCTGGTGTGCCATGGCGCCCTGCGCCTAAAAACGACAAAAGGGAGGATGGAAG